ACAGGAAGCTTTGGGCAAGAAGCTGCCATAGTTCAGCAACTTCACCTCTCTAGTGATGGAGACCTTGGAGGAAACTGAACTCTGCTTTCCACAGCTCCTCAACACCTCCTGTGTGAAGCCAAAGCGTCCTCACTTTGAAACTATCCTCACTGATACTGTGCTGTACTCCATCTCTCTGCTCACCGTGCTTCTCAACCTGCTGGTCATCACCTCTGTCTCTCACTTCAAGTATCCAAGTATTTCATCAATTCATGAAAGTGGTATTAATAAACATTTAACACTTAGTGATAAAGACAAAAATGATCACCTGACTTCAAATCATTAGGGAAAAGTGCACTTTGCAAATAATGTTTGTCTTTTAGTCTTTGTTGTATCTGCTTTTTATCTGAATGGTAACAGATCTTAATAATAATAATAAGTATATTTCTGGTCTTCCTCTCCAGGCAGCTCCACACCCCCACCAACATCCTCATCCTCTCTCTGGCCATCTCAGATTTCTTTGTAGGCCTTTTAATGTTGTTTCAAGTTGTGATTTTAGATGGCTGCTGGTACCTTGGTGAATTCATGTGTGCTGTGAATCAGTATTTAGCAGCCACAATTTGCTCTACCTCAGTAGGAACCATGGTGCTCATATCTATTGACCGCTATGTGGCTGTTTGTGACCCTCTGCATTACTCCACCAAAATCACTTACAAAAGAGTCAAGCTCTGGGTTTGTCTGTGTTGGACATTGTCTGCAGTTTTTCAAAGCATAGTTGTCAGGGATGCTCTAGTACAACCAGGAAAGTTTGTCTCCTGTTTTGGAGAATGTTTCTGGGTTGTTGACTACATTGATGGACTTGCAGATCTTATTGTTTCCGTCATGGTTCCCATTACTGCTATTGTAGTTCTGTATATGAGAGTATTTGTGGTGGCTGTGTCTCAGGCTCGTGCCATGAGGTCTCACATTGCAGCTGTCACACTCCAGGGTTCAATGAAAGGAAAAGCTAAAAAATCTGAAATGAAAGCGGCCAGGACTCTTGGAATTGTTATATACTTGTTTCTAATATGTCTCTGCCCATTCTATTTTGTCACTCTTAGTGCCCAAGATAATTGGTCAATGCTTCATCTCTTGCATCAGGACTCTTGGAATTGTTATAGTCTTGTTTCTAATATGTCTCTGTCCATTTTATTTTGTCTCTCTTAGTGCCCAAGATAACTTGGTCAACACTTCATCCCTTGCCCCTGTACTATGTGTGTACTATGTTAATTCCTTTCTCAATCCTCTTGTTTATGCATTTTTTTACCCCTGGTTTAGAAAAACTGTTAAACTCATTGTTACTCGTAAGATCCTGCAGTCTGGCTCCTGCAACACCAACATACTGTAGAGAGACACTGCATCATGCCTGAAATTAGACTTTATCATAATCAGAGAAATGTATAAAGCCATGTTGCTGAGTTGTTAAATAACATTTGTAAGACATTACTTGACACTTGTTACAATATCTTCCTTGGTGATGTTGTGTCAGGTCAATAGTGCAGATGTGAACACATTCAAACACATTTAAATTTGGTTGAATCATTTTTGTAACAGTGAACAGGGAGCACAGTATGTAGATAGTGTAAATGTCTGTGTTGAATAAATCATGCTAATATTCCCTATAGAATCCTCCTATATGTGACAAATTGTGTCCACATAGAGGCCCTTTCACTGGAAGATATTGTGATGGTGCCCTGTAAAGTAAACTCAGAAGTGAGAAATGATGATGAGCTCCCCGTTAATTGTAGATATAATGTAGTGCCTATAGTTGCAGTTGTAATGGGGTGAGCTGGAGGTTCTGAATGGGTGCCTTTTTAGGGAATAAGAAAAGAAAATGTACTATTGGTGTGGTGTTCCAAAATCTGACATGCTGAAGTGAAGATTTGGGTGCCCCTTGAATGAAAAAGTGCCCTCTAGAGGGCCCCCACATGTGAGAAGAAAGTATGTTATGATATTATAGAATAAGTGACTTTACTGGATTACCTTAATGAGCTTTCTCCTCAGGTTGAACTACATTTTATGATGTAGCACATAAGTGAAACAAAGCAAAACAAGATCTTATGAAATGAAGGCAAATTCAACATGTCATTGCTACCACTTGTAGCCACAGCAGCAGCCCTTTATCAGGGTCCAGCTTAACATTGTAAAATTGACCAGTTAGTGTAAAGGAGGAAACAATGCTTGGGGCTCCACATGAGATAAAGCATGTGAACCCATTTGAGATTTTGGGGGCCCAAGATATGTGTTTGTAAGTCTGATTCTGAAGGACGCCCTGAAACAAACAGGCAGGTATAACTTTGGGTGTGGAGAGTGTTTCACTGAGGAAGAATGTGATGCAACACACAATGCGTCATCTCCTGCTGCATGTGGGTCTGTGTAGCCACAGAATGGTTAAGATGCCCTTGCTAGTCATAATGTTTTGGCTTGTTCAGTGTACACATATTTGTATTTACATGATGCATCTTACAATACAATATTGTCCAAGAATGGCTGTTTCATTTTCATCTCAACAGTGAAGCTGCTTATAGTTTGGTTTCATATATTTTGACTAAAGGAACACCTTTAGCATTTAGACCAGAAGCATCACCATGCCACACAAAAGCTGTGTGCTAGTATAATACATACATAAATAAATACAAGTAGTGTGAATTTAGAAGTGCAAAGTCATTTTTCCTAGCACTTATTTTCTTTTTTATTTGTGACTAAATACAGTTTAGTATAAACAGAATAAAGTAGTACTAGTAGCAGTTTAAAATTAAACACTTTGTTAAATGAACAATTGGAGTACTATGCCTCCATGCCCATAATAGCCACAGCTGGAGGCATTATGTTTTTGAATTGTCCGTGCATCCATCTGTTCTTCAATACACCCTTTTCTTGTGAATACGATATGAAATTATGTACTGTGACTAGGATTTCTACCTGCTTGTATAATATGGGTGAAAAATATAAATATAAATTCAAGACTGTTCTACTACAGTAAGTAAACATTTATGGTTTCAGCTTAACTGACTTTGACAGACCACAGTTGTACCTACGATTAAGAAATATGAGGAGCACAATACTTCAGTCTCTACAGGAGAAAAACCAGCCACAGAGGTGAGGAGGAAGGAGGGGTGGTAGATCGGGAAAGAGATAAATCAGCTGTATGACAGGAACTTTGGTCAGGAAGCTGCCAGAGTTAAGCATCTTCTCCTCTCTGGTGATGGAGACCTCGGAGGAAACTGAACTCTGCTTTCCACAGCTCCTCAATGCCTCCTGTGTGAAGCCAAAGCGTCCTCACTTTGAAACCATACTGACCGACAGTGTGCTGTACTCCATCTCTCTGCTCACTGCGCTTCTCAACCTGCTAGTCATCATCTCTGTCTCCCACTTCAAGTATCCAAGTATTTCATCAATTTATTAAATTGGTTGTGAAAAATATTTGACAACTGGTGATAAAGGACACAATTATCAGCTAACGTCAAATTGTGCGGAAAAGTTGTTTTAAATTAATGTATTTGCATTTCAGTGTTTGCTGTATCTGCTTGTATCTGAATGATAATTGATATTAATGATGGAATTAATCATGATAAATCTATTTCTGTTCTCCAGGCAGCTCCACACCCCCACCAACATCCTCATCCTCTCTCTGGCCATCTCTGATTTCTTTATAGGCCTTCTAATGTTGTTTCAAATTGTAATTTTAGATGGCTGCTGGTACCTCGGTGAACTCATGTGTGCTGTGAATCAGTATTTAGTAGCCACTATTGCTTCTACCTCAGCTGGAGCCATGGTGCTCATATCTATTGACCGCTATGTGGCTATTTGTGACCCTCTGCATTACTCCACCAAAATCACTTATGAAAGCAGCCAGGACTCTTGGAATTGTTATATTTATGTTTCTAATATGTCTCTGTCCATATTATTTTGTGTCTCTTAGTGCCCAAGATAACTTGGTCAACACTTTATCCCTGGCACCTGTACTATGTGTGTATTTTGTTAATTCTTGTCTAAACCCAATGATTTCTGCCTTTTTTTTTACCCCTGGTTTAAAAAAACAGTTAAACTCATTGTTACACTTAAGATATTGCAGCCTGGCTCTTGTGACGCCAACATATTGTAGAAAGACACGGCAAGGTTCCTGAAATAAGACTTTATCATGTCATTGTAATGTACAAGGTAATGTTTGCATATTGTTGTCACTATTACATGAAGATCATATGCCTTTAAATTATAATATAATATAATATCACATAGGCTGGCACAGAGGTGCAGTGGTTAGCGCTGTCGCCTCACAGCAAGAAGGTTCCGCGTTCAAATCCGGGCTGACCTGGGGCCTTTCTGTGTATGTTTTCTATGGGTACTCTGGCTTCCTCCTGTGGTCTCTTTCGAGCTAAGAATACATTTGAGCTGGGAGAGGATGTTTATAAATCACATTGCTTACCAGAGGAGACTGTGATTGAGTTTTACAGACTTTCAGGTCAGACCATTCTTCACTTACTAAAACTTAATAAAAGATGACTGTGACAGGTTTAGTAAATATTCCCCCTTGTACAGTACCTTCCCTATTGTACCAGGTCATGAACACATTCAAGCACATTTCATTTTGGTAGATTTTTTTTTTTTTGATGATTTTTGGAATAATGGACAGGGAATGCAGTATGCAGACACTGTAAATGGAATAAAAACTAATGTAATAAAAAGTTATATGATGTGACATCAGACCTAAAGTTTCATAAAAAAATATTAAGTCCATCCCATTTATACCAGTCAGTTTTTCACCAGCCCTTTGCTAGATCATCGTCCTCATAGTGTTTCAGTCATTACTCCTAATGTTCCTTGTGTTTCCCCGTGGTTAGACTTTTTCCCCATTTTTGGACTTGTCGTGGCTAGAGTGTGATACCGACTAAATTAATTCAGACAAACCATCCCAATTTAAAGGATCATTTAATATTACAATTATTCTGAATAGAGTAGTATTTAAACACATAATCTTGTAGTTAGGGAA